GCCATCCTCCTGCCTCAGCCTCTAGAGAAACTGAGACTACAGGTGCATACCACCACGCCCAGCTAATTTTTCTATTTTTCGTAGAGATGGGGTCTTGCTCTTGCTCAAGCTGATCTTAAACAGCTGGGCTCAAGCAATCCTCCTGCGTCAGTCTCCCACAGTGCTGGGGTTATAGGTATGAGCCCCTGCAACCAGCCCCATTTTCTTATTATACAATAAATAAATAATACACTGAGCACCTTCATGTGCTAGCCATGTACCTAAATGTCAGGGTTAGAGACGACAACAACAACAACAACAAAATAGTGTCTTCCCTCATAAACATTCCATTGGAACATAATTCCCCAAATAAATAAATAATTATAATTTTGGACAAAAAAAATCCAATCTGTTATAAGGGACCATAATAGAAATTTAATTTGGATTTAGCTGGCCAAGGAAGACTTCCTGAAGGAAATAAGATATAAACTGAAAACTTGAAAAACTTGAAGTTTTTAGCTGGAGTTAGCTCTGAATTTGAAAAAAAAAAAAATTTAATTAAAAAAAATAAAACAGAAAAAAAACCAATGCTGCTGTTCTCACACTAAAATATTCAAGTATATTTCACTTTCCATCATGATGTTCCACTCACTAAACATTAATTTAAAAATGCTTTTCATTTAATGATTTTTAATGATTTTCACAAATGTTTGTTTAGTTTCAGCACTATGATTCTATTTCACATTAAACTCTGACTAAACAGATAATGTTAACAAAGAAAGAATTTATTTACATCAATTATATAGAGTAACTTAGTTTGAGAGAAAGAAGACCTTAAAGTATACTGGGTGATGGGGAAGCTAAAGCCAATTAGATTAATTTCCATTAAATTTTTGTTTCAATCAATACCATTTGATGTGAACTAGCACAATTTTATCATCTACTGAAAGTTCTCTTGTGAACTATAATCAAACCTCATCTTTGTCAGGATTAGTTCAGTGGAAGAGATGACTTTTGCAGAGAAAATAATCACATTGCACTTTACATAATTATCAGAACCTCATATAAACACCACACCTTATGTCTAAATAGAATGAAAAATGCACTTCTTACATTGAATGTTGCAACCATATTCTAATATAACACAAAATCGACTTGAACATGTGGCAACCTGGCTCTACAACACATATTCTTCATTACTACATTCTTCATTACTACAACCCCTGAAAGAACTCGTGTTCTTCTTGTCTGCCCCAGAAACATCCTCATCCAGGCTCACTGTGTGGGTTCGTTCAGGTCCTCGCAGGAAACGGACTGGAGACTTCATCTTTCAACAGCTGACCAAGCTCAGACAAGATTTCCCTATTGGAACACTGTTTTGCTTTTTTAAAAAGAGGGTTGCATGGCTAATCTAGACGGCTGCTGAGGATGAACAGCATGACCAGCAAAGGTTTAAATGGTGGGCCTTGAAAATTATGTGAGTTTAGTGTCGAATAACTTTAGTTGTACCAAAAACAATAGCAATTAACAGAATAAATTTAAGAAAATTGCCTCCCTTTATAATGTATGTTTCCTCCTCCTTGCTTTCTTTCTTTCTTTCTTTTTTTTTTTTATTAATAAGAACTATTGACTTTCTTTGGGAAAACAAAACAAAACAAATACAGCAGTTCTCCCCTTACAAGGTTTCACTTTCTGCAGTTTCAACTGCCATCTGAGAATATTAAATGGAAATTTCCAGAAATAAACAATGCATAAGTTTTAAATTGAATGATGATGAACGATGATGAAATCTCACACCATCTCATTCTGTTCCGCTGGGGAAGACAATCATTCTTTTGTCTAGTGCTACCTGCCTGCCCATGGATAGTCACTTAGTCACTGCCTAGGTTATCAGATTGATTGTTGTGGTATCACAGTGCTTCTGTTCAATTATTTCACTTAATAATGGCCCCAAGGTGCAAGAGTAATGATGCTGGCAATTTGGATATGCTGAAGAGAAGCCATAAAGTGCTTCCTTTAAGTGAAATGGTGAAAGTTCTTGACTTAAGGAAAGGCAAAAAAAAATCATCATTGCTTGAGCCCTGGAGTTTGATGCTGCAATGAGCTATGGTAGAGCCACTGCACTCCAGCCTGGGCATCAGAGCAAGACCCTATCTCTAAAAAGAAAAACAAAAACATCTTTTAATTGTGAAGAAGGAAATAGAAATTTTTGCTAGTTTTACTACGCCACCTCACCTTAAACTGGAAAAGTTCGGCCACAATGTATAAGTGCTTAGTTGAGATGGAAGAGGCATTAAATTTGTGGGTGCAAGACAGGAACGAAAACAAATTCTGATTGACAGAAATTGGTTTGAGACTATTGGTGGTTTCAGGCATCCCCTGGGGGTCTTGGAATGTATTTACTGCAGACAAGAGGGGACTATTGTACTCCCAAAGGATATGCTTAAATGTTACCTTTGATTTTTCTTAACATATCTATAACAAATAAACAAAAAAGTCAAAAGAAAAGAGTTTAAGGCTTTAAAATATATATTGTCAAATATACTAGAAATGAAAAGTTTAAGAGTTCTCATCTGAAATTAAGATCATTAGAAACACTAAGGTGAATTGTGAGATCATGTGGATTACAGTAGTATTTAGGTTACAAGGGAAATTTAAGTTTAAAGTCAGGGCAGTATGTGGAGAGGCAGAGTAAAGACAGTGCATTTCATTTCCTTTGGATTTGAAACTGAACTCAATGACAATTACCAACCAAACATATAGGGGAGGGGCTGTTATTATAAATTATATACTTTGCATAATTAAAAAAATTATTGTGCCTTTTTCTCATAAGAATTTAAGAGTGAAGATGCAAAACTTTTTAAGTTCAAATAAGACAATAAACAGGTTTTTCTCTATTCATGCATACATCACTTGTAAAGAAGTCATTCTTTAGTGGAACAGTCATTACAAAGTAACTTTCACTTTCACTGCTTTCAAATTTCAACTATTAATAGTAAATTCATAAGTGTTTATTATGTAATTAATAATATTCACTGATTCAGCTAAAATTTAGTGAATGATTATTAAGTTAAAAATTCTGTGTTTCTAAAAATAAAATCTATATAATTGCTCACTTGAGCAAGAAGTTGCATCATCAAATCTACTAAATACAAAAAAAATCTTAAGTTCCCTTCCATATTTGTTTTTGTAATATATGCTTTGAATTTATGAGGAAAAAAACTAATTATCTGAAATGACCCAGTCTTTAGTTTGAATGATCAAGTTATGATTATATCATGCTTATGTTCTTAGGTTTACAGTCCACCATTTCACTGGGATTTTTCCAAGATCTACAAACCCTGACCATATGGCAACACTGTTTTCTCAAACTTGTAGGATCTCCATGATATTCAGAGATCTTGCTTCATTCATGTCAAAGGAACATATGAAAAGTAGAGGAAACTAAATTATGCAAGAAAAGTGCCACCCCTCTTAATCAGGGAAAGAAACTCTATCCATAGGATGACATTAATAGACAACAGCATACCTGGAAACATCACCATGAAATGTCATAGTTAAGCTCACTTTTTAATTAACTGAATTATTTTAGTCAACAGTAAAGACATTAAGATAGAATGGTTGTTACTCTGTGTTCTCTGAAATGTTAAGAGACACTTTCAGGACAAAGAATGAAGTCTGTAATTCTTAAAAGTATGTAATTTCTCTTATTACATAACAAAAATTATCCCTATATATCATGTGTCTGGTTCTGAGCAAAAATTATCTGAACACACAGGGATAATAGCAGCAGGCATGATTGATCCAAAAGACTTCCACTGACACTGGGCAACCATCCTGGGTTGTCATAAACATCCAGGAAGTAGAGGGGTCAGGGGCTAATGTAGAGAAAGGAATATATGCAATGTAGCTCCTAGCATGAAACGTTGTCCTATGGTATCACATATTATAAAAAGTAGCTCTTGTGCATATGTATTAACGATGCCTATCAAACTTCAATAATTGGTCGTTTCGTTCATTGACTTTTAAATAAAAGATGATATCAAGGTGTAGGAACATGATTTCAGAAAAGGTATTTTATTATCTGAGCACAAAAGCTTGCATGAGGTCACAGAATCCATATAAACAAACTCTGAATCTTGAACATTGCTTCAAAAATAAATCAGATAACCTGTAAGAGCTTTTGGGGAAGGTACATATAAATTCTCCCCTTGGTGCATCTAAGTTATGAGTCTCTTAGGGCTACAATATGCTTCATTTGATCAGCCATAGTTTGAAAGCACAGAAGGAGGTACAGCAGACAAAAAGGAATAATTATCTGCACATACATTTACAGCACAGTTCTCTTGCAGAGGGAATAGCACCCCTTTTTGTGTATGTGTTCCAGAGTTAACCTTCCTTTGGCTTTCAAATTATCTGGCTTGTTTTCTCCTGTAGCCAGGTTCTGAAATATCAAACACAGCTGTAGGCAAAGGAAGATGTTGGTCAAAAAGCCCACCCAGAGGTACCAAAATAAATGGAAATGAAACTAACATACATAGAATCAAGTAAGGTGCCATGGTGGTTTCGTTGACGCTCTTGAGTCATTTGCATGGGAAGTCAGAAGAAAACAATGCAATAAAACAAGCAAACAAACTGGAGAAAGGACACTCTTTAGAGTCAAATGAGGAAGCCAAGCATCATAAATTTCCTGGTGGCCTGGCTTCTAGAAGGTAAGAGATTGAGGAACACTGCTAAAGAATGTTGTAGAGATTTTCGTTTCCAAGAGGGACCCGTGCACCTGTTGATGTATTTTCCAGGCCCTTGAATGATAGCAATTTATGAGGCTATTAGTACTAAGCCCAAGATTTATCAGATGTGCTGTTTGTCTTATGGCCAATATAACCTCATAAAATTTGGGTTGTCCTGGGTTAAAATGGAGCGTTCTGCTCTCGGAGTTATTCAGAGCATTTAAATCGGCTAATCCTACAAGAACGGCGCATTTAGCCTGCCTATTAGGGAGCGCCTGTGGGGATTCCTACCAGTTGCAGAGCCAGGCTGGAGGGGGCGGTCCATTGCTGGGTGAGGTAAAACGGAGGCAGCCGGGGAAGAGTGAGCGCTGGAGACGAGACGGTGTTTCTCTAATCCATCCATGCCAACCGCAGCCAGCTGAGCTTGGCGCGCCGGGAGCGCACGTGTGTGCGGGGGCTCCAGGAAGGGCTGTCGCCAAGAAAGAGCACAGTAGACAGAAACGTGAGACAGGGATTCAGGGAGACACTGAGAGCGACATGTCAACAAATTAAGTTCATCAGGTCAGAGACATAATAAACGGTGTGAAGGAAAAAGGAAAAAAAAAAAAAAATAGAGAAGGGGAGAGAAAAAAACAAGATCCAGTCAATAAATCCATTCAACAGATGTTTTCACACTGACGGGCCAGGGCCTGTCTGCCCGCCCGCCCGAGGAGGAGGTGATGGCAGGAGGCCTGTCAGTTTGAACTGATTGAAAGAAACAGACCTTTACCCTCAAGAGTAACATCGACTTAGAGTCCTTTCCTACCTTGATACCAACGCCTTGCATATAGCCCTGGAATTGTTGCCACACAAAGTGGTAGGACAATTCAACAGCTTTCAAAACTTCCAGGGAGGCCCAAATCTGAAAATTCTGTCCTGAATGTATTTCCGTGATATTGTTAATGAAATTTATGGGTGCCTCTAAAAATTACCAATTAAATGGGTTATATATATTTTGACGCCTGTCAGTTTTCATATGATGGCATAGAACAATGAATGTGTCGTGGTTTTTATTGGATAATCTCAATACTATACAATTACTCATTTCACTTACGGAGTATTAAATATATTCTCAGTGATTTAACAACATTTTTATTCTTCATGCTTCTCGAGTTATCGAATTTAAGAACCAGAGTTTGGTAGCTTCTGGAAGATTCATTTAGTCTATTTCTCTGTCTCAGAGAAAGACAATCTAAAACACAGATAGGCAGCTAATTTAAGCATCAATACTCCACAGAGAGCTTTGTGCCAAAAAAAAAAAAAAAACAACTACAAAGTGAATATTTTCTTTCTCAACTTTTGGGAATTCATAACCTTTATGCTGTTTTTAAGCATCTTTCCTAACGAACTTGGGAAATAGCTGAACAGTGGTACAAAATGTGATCATCACATGCCACACATGAGGAAACTGATGCTCCAAAAGGTTAACAAAGTCTTTTAAATACAAATCTAATTCCTATAATTGTCTATGTGCATGCTCTTCTGCTTTTATCTACCTGACTAGCATTTAGTCTTTCAAGACTTGATACCAATATGCCCTCTCCTTGGTGGGGACTTGCCTTAACCTTCCTGCTAGGTTAGGTGTTCCCCTGGCACCCACCATATGCCATTATATGTCAGCTCATATTCCCAGCACAAAGCTTGGAACAGATACATTCTAAGTGTACAAATTACTCACTTAGTGAGAAAGTTACTAGATCTACGTACAACACAACGGTACTCAATGCATATTATGTGGTTTTATGTAATCATACCTTTCTCTGTACATACAAATTAATGCTACATATAAACATGTGTTATGATGATAAATATATAATTAGTTATAGACCATAGGCAGAAATTTCCCAATTTAGTAAAAATTAAGGATCTTTTAATTAACTTTAAAATAGATTATAATTAATATATATGGTGACCCTGCTCATTCTGCAGAATAATCAAGCCATCAATCATTGAGAAGGCATTTGTCATGTAATCAGGTTTGGGGCATCTGCTTTGATGGTTGGGGTGGCTTGCTCAAGTTTCTAGTTCTAGTTTCAATAGTTTTAACACTTTTCTACAAGAGTCTAACTCTCTTATTTTCTTGAGTACCTCATGTTCAAGGCCCTGAGATTATAGCAGTAAGACTGATGTAGTCTCTCCTCTCATGGAACTTATAAGAAAACAAATATATAATTATGACTTTGGTGGTTTTCTGTGGAGAAAAGGGAGCTTTTCTGCATGTGATCTACAATGCATACATACTTTTCTGAATTTTTGTGATATCCATTTCTCTTTTTTCTCTACTGTAATTTCTTTATCCTTCATGTAAGCCAATGCAAAAGGGCCCTAATTGATCACCCTACTTCTAATACTAACCAGTCTTATTCCTTTCTGCAAGAATGCTCTTCCTAAAGTTCTCCGTAAGCAAGAAGTTGAAACAAAAAGGCTCTAAAGGTCAACCCAAGTTTGTAGAACCGCCTCAGCCTGTAATTTGGCCTCTCATTGAGAATCCGACCTACATTTTCAACCTTAGCTCATCTATTTTTTCCAGGTTCTAGCCAACATACTATCTACTGCACAACAAAGATCATCCCCGGAGCTGCATAGTGACTTCCATATTGTGGGAACTTTCCCCTTTGTGGCTCCTTCCTCCAACAAATGACATTAAAATTACATTTTATGCCTACATTGGGTGCATTGGATTCACTATTATATACTTATATTATTATATTCATTTTTTATATGATTAAGAAATTAAAAGTGAAAACACTCTGTGGGCCTATAACAATATCAGGGACTCTGTGCATCATGTCTGCCATCTTTAATGGATATGTTGGCCCTGCTCATTCGTGCTTCTACCAGCCCTTCCTTTCTATATCACCCTCTACATGTGCCTACGGTGCTCCACACTGAGCACTCATACATATCCTCTGAGGTCCACTTCACGTTTCATATAAAGTCTTTTTTGAGCACCCACATTAAGTGTCCTTTCCCCTTCTGGCACATTCCCATCACACTTCGTTGTTCTCTTTTTTCTGCCATAGTCTTATATATTAAAGCTTTTGCATGCAAAACTATCTCTTGAGCTCATACTGTGTGTCAGACACTTTGCTAGTGTGTTGAGGCTTCTTTATGCTTTGTCCGAGACAGATACTAAATATTTATATGTATAATGTAATTATAAATTTGAGTGCTATATAGAAAAAATTCAGGGTGCTGTGAAAAATTGTAATGAAGAACCTAAGGAAGAGGGTCAAAAGATATTCATGTAAGAAAGGGATAGTTAATTTGAATTGTGAAGGATAAGTTGGAATTGACCAGGTGAAGAATGGGGGAAGCTTTAGATACATTTTGCATGTGTCTGTGCACATACGTGTATATGTATGTGAAATGATCTTTCCGTGTATGATACTGAAAGCTTTTGAACCAAAAACTAGATATAACTCATCTGTTAACTTATTTCCTGCTGCATTTGACATCTTTTCTTATGCTGCATTTAACATCTTTTCTTATGCTGTGTAGAAGCTAAATAATTCTTTATGCATTAAGATATGTAATAGATATTTGGAAGTTAAAGGCCTTGTTTTTTGTTTTTAATAACGTAATCATGTCTTAGATAACTGGGGCTACTGAATGTTTTATCTCCTAATGCATAGTTCAATACTTTTAGGACTCCATGTAAATCACACTATCTACCTATGAAAATTCTATGAAAATTTCTTTCAAAAATGCATATTTAATGCGTTACTTGAGCTTGAGAGAAATCCTATAAGATAACGGAGTAATACTTTGCTAACTCATAAGCATAGTATAAATGTTACATTGTAATACAAAACTTTGCAATCCAGTAAGCAACATCCTACTTACCTAGTATCTGCCAGAAAGAATATGACACTATAGGTAAGAGACAAATAATTACTTGTTTAATAGTTGTTATTTATTCATCATATGTAAGTGTTCATCCAATATCTAGTGCACAAGGGAAAGCCAACAGACCTTGTGCTAGGTTGTATAGACAGCAAAATGAATAAAGCATGGCTCCTGGTGTGGGTTGACATCCAAAATTTAAGCACTTTATCCCTAGTTAGTAAGTTCCATGAGAATATGAGCTTTGTCAGTTATATATTTTCGTGCATATATTTCCCATAAACATTTATTTTTGAATGAAAAATGAATGGATAAGGAGATATATCATCATCTTTAAGTTCTTACTATAAGGATGAAATAAGGAAGCATATTCAAAGGAACCATAACATAAAAGAATCAAGATATGGCTTAGAAAAAATAGAACTAGAGTCCAGACAAAACAATTACCAAAGGACAATTCCCTGAAATTAGTGTTAGAGCCAAGAGATAATGAAAGGAAAGTTCCAGTGATGTGAGGATCATTTATTTTTATGTGGTTTTCAAGCTTTCTGCATATCAACTATATTAAAACTTTAATTAAGAAAAATGGTAAATGTTATTTAAAATAAACAGTTGAATCTTTCAAACACTTCCTCAGGCCAGATTCATAATTATTGGACCTAAGAGCAGATGTGGGTCAAATATTTTTGAACCTTCTTTCAAAATAGGACTATACCAGAGAGAAAAGTTCATTCACTTTTTAAAAGAGTTGACTGCAATTATGTGCTTTACAAATGAAGTATGGCTTTTAATGTATAGGTAGAATTGTGACAATCCAGTAAGCCAGACATTATTATAGTGCATATTAGTCACCAAGTTATCATACAATGCCAGGCCATTTTTATTTCAGATGGGTATCCCTCCTTAATGGTGACAAGTATCCTTGTGGGTGAAAACTGAGATTACCTTTTTCTGTTGTAGCTGAAATCAGTTGAAGTATTTCACTAAACACTTTTTTTCTATTAGCAATTTTAATAAGAGATCATTTTATCTGTGGTTATTTTTTTATACTTCTAAGTAAGTCTGAAAGTGCATGTTTCATTCTTGCATTGTCAGAAAATTAAAATGTCAAACAGTTCAGAATCTATTGTTATTAAAAATTGGATGGATATCCAACAATAGATGGGAATCTATTGTTATTAAAAATTGGATGGATAACATTTCATTTATTGACCACCATTGGAAAATGTGGCATGCTCCCTGAAGTGAATAATAAACTCCCTCCACCCCCAAAATTTATTAAAATATCTTTTAAATATCCTATGTTGAGTCTATTCTTCATGCAGTATACATCAGTTTTTCTTTTTTCAGGTATTTTCACTGTGGACTTAGTTATGGTTGGTTACTTTGATAGACTGTCATTTAGGGAAATATTACAAGCTTACTGATATAGGTAAGACCACTTTTTCTTATATGGAGTGGTCTAAAGCCACTGTGCTTGAATATCTTCTGTCCCCTCCCACTGATAAAAGCTACCAAGTTACTTTCACACAAGAGATATTATGCATCTATTTTGTAAATTCCTCAATATTGCCCAGTAAGACA